ACTGGCCTCTGTCACAGTTGCCCCTGCTCACTTTGCCCCTCGCGGCTTTCCCAGCCGAGAGCCTGCCTCGGTGTCACCGAGTCGGTTCGCTCCTTCCCCTGCCAGTCTGGTGCCCCTGTCCGCGCACTCTTGGTCGGCACCTGCGGGTCCCTCCATTCGAGAGCCCCGGTGCCCACTCGGTGCCCCGTTCTTCCACGGCATCTGTGCTGCCCGTCCCCGCGCAGGGCCCACACCCCCAGCCTGCCCGTCCTGTTAGTGCTGCGCGTCCTGCCCGGCCTGCCCCGGTGACCCTTAGGTTTTTCCCTCTGGAAACCTCTCGCTGCCGCACACAACCGCATGCTCCCCCTCCGGTATTTCACATCCCAGCCCGTCCCATCACCATGCTTCTTCCATCACCCCTCCCCTAAATATTGCTTCTTCTAGGTATGAAGTTAAAATGCAGTGCTTAACAGCGCAGACTCCGGAGCTTTACAGGCCTGACTTTGAATCCTAGTTCCACCACTGACTGAGCTGTTTGATCCTGGGCAAGTTACTAAGCTTCTCTGGGCCTAAACTACTCAAAATGTAAAATGGGAACAATAGTATCTATTTCTTCCCTACCTCTTAGGGTAGGTGTACGGATTAAATACCAAAGCTTCTCGATTTTCTATAGGGTTTTACATCTTTTTTTTTTTTGGTACTGGGGATCTAACTCAGTTCCTTGCGCGTTTGAGGCAGGCGAGGCACCACTGAGCTAAATCCCTGATCCCAGAGTTTTACATCTTGATAAACACATCATAAGCTTGACAGTATCCTAGGTCAAAAATGGCATTTAATACACCTAACAAGCACCATAGCTCAGTATCCCGGATGCTCAGAGTGTCAGTTGTTTAACCTCATTGCATAGCTGCCTAGGAACTGCAGCTGACTACCACTGCCCAGTGTGACAGGAGTATCATACCATATATTTACTAGCCCACATGTCCACTAGCTGGGAAAGAAGCAAAATCAAAATCTAGGGGCTAGAGCTATAATTTAGTGATAGAACACTTGCCTAGCATATGCAAGGCCCTGGCTTCAATCCCCAGCACTGCAAAATAAAATTCAAAGTTCGGTTTATACTAAATGCCTGCCACATACCATTGTAAATCAAACCATCAGTTTGGGAACCGACTGGGCATAGTGGCGCACACCTGTAATCCCAGCACTGGGGAGGCTGAGGCAGGAGGATCTCTGTGAGTTCCAGACCAGCCTGGGCTACATAGTGAGTTCCAGGTCAGTCTCAACTACATAGTGAGACCCTGTCTCAAAAAACAAAAACAAACAAAAAAAATTTGGGAACCATCTGTATATGTAAATCTCTTAGAGGAATGTCTGGCAAGTAGTACGCTCTCAATAAATATTAACATGGGAAGGCGGGGATTTAGCTCAGTGGCACTGTGCCTGCCTTGCAGGTACGAGGTCCTGAGTTTGATCACCATTACCCAAATAAATAAAGAAATATTAACATGGGTGATACAGCCATAATGAACTTGCCCTCAGTGACATCTCACTACAGTGTTTTCCCTAAGGATTCACCCCTTTCTGTCCCTTTTGTGTGGATATGTGCTATGGACTTAACCCAGGCCTCACACGTGCATAGCCTGTGCTCTGCCACTGTGCTACACTCACCCCCACCCGCATCACAGTTTTTGTCTCTCGCAGATCTCTTCTCGTGCTGATTTGTTTTACCCGCGACAAAGCTGAATTGTTCGCAAATCATCTTTCTCAGTTCTGAAGGACTGTCCATATTCACCACTGAGATGTGGGTATTGGGGTTGATGACAGGAAGGGATTGCCAGTCACTGGCCTTAATAGAGTAGCTGAGGTAAAGAATATGACTGTAAAGCTTCCAGAAACAGACTGTTTAAGAAAAATAAGTTCCCCAAATTAGGTCTCCTTAAAACTTTGTTTTCTGATCCTCTTTCTCAATGGCTGGATGTGGCTTAAGAATCTGTTGCTGTCATCCTTCACTCAGTTTGTACTGTTTTTGTTTTTTGGTTTTTTTTTAACGGGATTCAGTCCTTTATGTCTCTCCAGGCTAGCGCTCAGGGACTTTTCTGTTCCGCGGTATAGAACCACCTCTGTTAAGTTAGGAACGAGAACTGGAATGTGCACAGAGGGTCTAGACTGCTTTCTGGCTTTTCTCAGGTACTAGTTACATGGCCTATTCTGGGTCTCCATTTTTATCTCCTTTCCTCACTTTGGCACAGGTTAGGTGAAAGGCAACAAGTAGGTAATGGAGAAGTGTCCAGGTTGTAAGTTCAGAAGCCAGTAGAGCAGTTGTATCATCTCTCTTTCCTTGAATTCCCCCACCATAGTGTCCACATGACTGCGAGTTCGTTGGTGCTGCTAGCTATGATGGTGGGTTTGATTGATGCGGCAGATTAACAGACTCATGAGTTTCCTCTTATCTGATATTTTGTTGGAACACAGGACTTCTGGGGCTTTCTTTCTCTTTGTCACAGGAAGACCAGAGCTCTTGCTTGCTGGCCAATTGCCAGTCACAGGCTGGGAACTCCTTTCAAAGCAGGCCTGTTTTCAGCTGTTTGGCCTCTTGTGGGTGGGAGAACTTGAGCATACTGCTCTAGCTCTGAGCTTAGAATTTAGGTATCCTACAAAGGAAACAGGTGTGAAGCTAATGTACGGGATTCAGCTGTGTCTTCTACAGGAGCGTTTAGAGTTTGTTTTGGAGAACAAATCGTAAGTGAGCAAAAGGTAAGGGGAGGAAGAAGAGAATGGACTGAAGACAGTTTCAAGGGGAGAAGTAACCCATTATCAATACTTGTTTTACAGGCAGTGGGGCCAGATTGTGAAGTGTGCTGACTTCTGATGTGAGGAACTTCATCAAAACCAAGGTGGAACCTGGCTAAATTTGCAACCTGAAGCCATGGGCCAGGGGGCCATGGTGACCTGAGGCCAGTGGACTCTGTCCAGCCCTCCCTTGCTGCTCCTTCTACCTCCCCTACCCTGTACTAAGAGGACTTGTCTGCACCTCTTCAGGGAACTGATCCTGTTTTCCTACCCTCTACCCTCCCGAGACAGTTCCAGGCTGTACAACTCCTGCCTCCCATCCCCTGAGGTGGTCCCTGGTCCTCCCTCATTTCCCCTCGCCATGCTTCAGCTGTGGAAGGTGGTATGCCCAGCTCGGCAGCAAGAACTGCACCGCCTCATACTGCTGCTGATTGCTTTCAGCTTGGGCTCCATGGGCTTCCTCGCTTATTATGTGTCTACCAGCCCCAAGGCCAAGGAACCCCTCCCTCTGCCTTTAGACTGCAGCAGCAGTGGGGCAGCTGGCCCTGGCCCTGCACGGCCTCCAGTCCCACCTCGGCCTCCCAGGCCTCCAGAAACAGCTCGAACTGAACCCGTGGTACTTGTGTTTGTAGAGAGTGCATACTCGCAGTTGGGGCAGGAGATTGTAGCCCTCTTGGAGTCTAGTCGTTTTCGTTACAGCACTGAGCTAGCACCTGGCCGAGGGGACATGCCCACATTGACTGATCGTACCCGTGGCCGCTATGTGTTAGTCATTTACGAGAATCTGCTCAAGTATGTCAACTTGGATGCCTGGAGTCGGGAGTTGCTAGACCGGTACTGTGTGGAGTATGGTGTGGGAATCATTGGCTTTTTCCGAGCCCATGAGCACAGCCTACTGAGTGCCCAGCTCAAGGGCTTTCCTCTTTTTCTACATTCAAACTTGGGGCTCCGGGACTACCAAGTGAATCCTTCTGCTCCTCTGCTGCATCTGACACGCCCCAGCCGCCTAGAACCTGGGCCACTGCCTGGTGATGACTGGACCATCTTTCAGTCCAACCACAGCACATATGAACCTGTGCTTCTGGCTAACCTGCGGCCAGCTGAGCCCCCTGTGCCAGGACCAGTGCCTCGTCGTGCCCGGCTCCCCACTGTGGTGCAGGACCTAGGACTTCATGATGGCATCCAGCGGGTGCTCTTTGGCCATGGCCTTTCTTTCTGGCTCCATAAACTTGTCTTCATTGATGCTGTTGCATACCTCACTGGCAAGCGCCTCTGCCTGGACCTTGACCGCTATATCTTGGTAGACATTGATGACATCTTTGTGGGCAAAGAAGGTACCCGAATGAAGGTGGCTGATGTTGAGGTCAGTATTTTTTTTTTTTTTGAGACAGGGTCTTGCAGTATAGCTCAGGCTGGCCTCGAACTCCTTATGTAGCCCAGGTTGGCCTGGAACTCAACACAATCTTCGTGCCTCAGTCTCCTGAGTGCTGGGATTACAGGTGTGCACCACCATGCCTGGTCCCCTCACTTTTCTTAGAAGCTATTTAGGCTCTGGCCTGTCATACTCCCTCCCTTGATTCTCTGCTTGTTGTAGGTACACTCCCTCCCCCTTGCAGACAGAAGCAAAGCTACTTCTAATGTATCTCTGCTCAGCCTGCTCTGTCTTTATTTTTCATGTCCCTGCTGCTCTTCCCAGGCTCTGTTGACCACCCAGAACAAACTCAGGACCTTAGTCCCCAACTTCACCTTCAACCTGGGCTTCTCGGGCAAGTTCTACCATACTGGTGAGCTTCTTCCCCTGCACCTTCAGTACAGTAGTCTTAGTTTGATCTGTACCTTCACTGTCCATCCCATGACCAGACAAGCTAGAGAAGAGGGGCAAGGTTGGGGTCAGCCTGCTGTGAGGAGATAGTGTTGGTGGAAATTTAGCATGGGTGGCTGCAGGGCGAGTTGGTAATGGGGAAAATGGAAAGTCTTGAGTGAGCAGGGATCATTAATGTCCCAAGGGATAGAAAATGGTCAGTGTTATAACCAAACAGAAGGAGCTGGGCTGGCTGGTTGTGGTCAGCAGTCAGTGTGTGGTCATAGGGACAGAGGAGGAGGATGCAGGGGACGACATGCTGCTGAAGCACCGCAGAGAATTCTGGTGGTTCCCCCACATGTGGAGCCACATGCAGCCACACCTATTCCACAATCGCTCCGTGCTGGCTGACCAGATGAGGCTCAACAAACAGTTTGCTTTGGTGAGACACTTGGTTCTCTTCCTTTTCAACTGTCCCCTAATGGGATACCCTTCTCCTGCCCTCACCAATCTCCTTCTGTGGAGGCACCCCCACCCTCTTTGCCCTCTACTCCCCAAACCTCACCAGGCCCTGGTGAGAATCTATTCCATTTCCCAGGAGCATGGGATTCCCACGGATCTGGGCTATGCTGTGGCCCCCCACCACTCGGGCGTGTACCCCATCCACACGCAGCTCTATGAGGCCTGGAAATCTGTGTGGGGCATCCAGGTGACCAGCACTGAGGAATATCCTCATCTCCGCCCTGCCCGCTACCGCCGTGGCTTCATTCACAATGGCATCATGGTGAGGGACTCCTAATACGAAACACAATCAAACTCCCAGTTAGCCTCCGACCTGCCTTAACTTAGGGCTTGCCATCTTGCCAGCTGCCAGTCCAAGAGTATCCTGTTTTTTTTTTTTTTTTTTTTTTTTTTTTTTTTTTTTTTTTTTTTTTTTTTTTTTTTTTTTTTTTGTTTGGTACTGGGGATTGAACTCGGGTCCTTGCACTTGCAAGGCAGGCCACCGAACCGCTGAGCTAAATCCCTGGCCCTAAGAGTATCCTTAATGAGGGTAAAAATCATTATAGAAAACCATAGTGCACTCAGTAAGAGCCTTATCACTGTAACTTCAAGGGAGAAGTTTCCTTCTGTAAACTCAGGGGATCCCAGTACCTCAGGACGTCATCATCTTCATACTCTGTCTTTCACATTGCATCTGTCCTCATTTCATCTCCTGCAGGTGCTGCCCCGGCAAACATGTGGCCTCTTCACTCATACAATCTTCTATAACGAGTATCCTGGAGGCTCTCGTGAACTAGACCGGAGCATCCGAGGTGGAGAGCTCTTTCTGACAGTGCTTCTTAATCCGGTAAGGTGCCGAGAGAAAAGGCTAGAAGATTGGAGAACCAAAGTATTTTCAGACTGGGACTTTACTCATCAAGACTGCCTCTGAGGTGGGGTAGACAGACGTTCCATCTGACATGCAGGCGCCCCCTTGCAGATCAGCATCTTTATGACCCATCTATCCAATTATGGAAATGACCGCCTGGGCCTGTATACCTTTGAGAGCCTAGTGCGCTTCCTTCAGTGCTGGACACAGCTGCGCCTACAGACCCTCCCTCCTGTTCCTCTGGCACGAAAGTACTTTGAACTCTTCCCTCAGGAGCGAAGCCCCCTTTGGCAGGTAAGAGTGGAGCCTGGATGACCAGACACAATGGGGATGGAGTTTAAGAGATTGGGCCTTATGGGAGTCTTGGCCTTGCCTTCAGAATCCCTGTGATGATAAGAGGCACAAAGATATCTGGTCCAAGGAGAAAACCTGTGACCGGCTCCCCAAGTTCCTCATTGTGGGACCCCAGAAGACAGGTGAGTCATCCTTAGTCAGTTTCTCTTGCCCTGCCTTAAACTCAAAAGGTTTTTTTGCCAAGGAATTCCCTTCTCATACCTCCTCCTTTTTAATCCAGACTCTTGAGACAGGGATTCTTAACTCTAATAGTATCTCAAAATCATCTGTGGAGTTTTTGTTTCGTTTTTTGCTGTTCTTGTTGTTTGTTTGTGTGTTTTTGCAGTGTTGGGAGTCAGGCCCCGGGCCTCATGCATGTTAGGCAAGCCCTCTGCCACTGAGGTACATCCCCAGTCCAACCTGTGAGGATTTTAAAAGATCTACAAGTAGTGAGCACAGTGGCATATGCCTATTATCCCAGCACTCTGGGAAGCTGAGGCAAGAGGATCGAAAGTTGGAGCCCAGCCTGGGCAAGTTAGCAAGAGCAAAATTAAAAATTTAAAAAGAAAGTTGGGGATATAGCTCAGTGCAAAGGCCCCGAGTTCAATTGTTGATACCAATAAATAAATATATAAATAAAATTCACAAGTGATTTTGATCGTCAAGGCTAAGAGCCACTATTTTTATTTTTTTGTGGTGGGGATTGAACTTGAGACCTGGAGGCAGGCAGCAGAACCACTGAGCTAAATCCCCGGCCCCTGCTGTTTTAACTCTTTCTTGTGCCTTTCTCGGGCTTTCCTTCTCGCAATATAGTTTGGCCAAAGGGGATTTTACTACCCAGCGTGCTTATTTTCTTACTTTCTTCAAACTCATGCTGTTCAGCTGGCTTCCTCCCCACAATGGCCTGGTCATTCTCTCCCATCTAGGAACCACAGCTATTCACTTCTTCCTGAGCCTACACCCAGCTGTAACAAGCAGCTTCCCAAGCCCCAGCACCTTTGAGGAAATTCAGTTCTTCAATGGCCCTAATTACCACAAGGGTATTGACTGGTGAGACTGGAACCCCCTTAAAGACTTCTCAGGGAAACATTTCCTCCTCCAAAAATACTCAGCTTCTACCAACACTGACATCTGACCTCTTCACTCTAAAAATGTCTGTCTTTCCTCTGTTCTGCTTTTTAGGTACATGGATTTCTTTCCTGTTCCTTCCAATGCCAGCACTGACTTCCTGTTTGAAAAAAGTGCCACCTACTTTGACTCAGAGGTTGTACCACGGCGGGGGGCTGCCCTCCTGCCCCGAGCTAAGATCATCACTGTGCTCACCAACCCTGCTGACAGGGCCTACTCCTGGTACCAGGTCTGCCTGAAGCTGGGACATGTGGGGCTTGATGGAAAGGGGTGGAGTGGGGAGGCAGGAATGAGGGTAGAGAAACTAAACTAGGTCTTGAGGAAGGGTGCCTGTGCTGTCACCACACCAAGGATAAGTGCAGAATAATTCTGTCAAGTCACCAGCTCCTCACCTTCCTATGCCCTGTCCTTCAGCACCAGCGAGCTCACGGAGACCCAGTTGCTCTGAACTATACCTTCTACCAGGTGATTTCAGCCTCCTCCCAGGCTCCCCTGGTACTTCGCTCCCTGCAGAATCGATGTCTTGTCCCTGGCTACTATTCTACCCACCTACAACGCTGGCTGATGTATTACCCCTCTGGACAGGTACAGTTCCCCAAGAGTCTACATTGGGGTGCCCTTCCCTCCAGCCAAGCCACTTCCTAGGAATATTGAGGGAACCACACCCCTGTCCCTTTAGTTGCTGATTGTGGATGGACAGGAGCTGCGTGCCAACCCAGCAGCCTCAATGGAGAACATCCAGAAGTTCCTGGGTATCACACCCTTTCTGAACTACACACGGACCCTCAGGTTGGAGAGCATGGCCCAGGGGTGGGATCTCTTGGGGAAATGGGCAAGCAGGTTGATCATACCTGTGAAGACATGGATTTACCTTAACAAGGAGGGATGTTCCTGTGGGCCGGAAGGGATAGTGTGCATTTATGGGGCTCGGATTGCTCCTCCTTCCCACCTAAATAGCCTTTTCCTGTCGTGCAGGTTTGATGAAGATAAGGGATTTTGGTGCCAGGGACTTGAAGGTGGTAAGACTCGTTGCCTAGGCAAGAGCAAAGGCCGAAGGTACCCGGATATGGACACTGAGGTCAGTGACTCCTGGGCAGGGTATCACACTCCACTTGGGAGAAGCTAACATGGTCCTACTCCTGTTTCTCCCTTCACTTTTCTCTTCTCCTTCAGTCTCGTCTCTTCCTGACGGACTTTTTCCGGAACCATAACTTGGAGCTGTCAAAGCTGCTGAGCCGGCTTGGACAACCAGTTCCCTCATGGCTTCGGGAAGAACTGCAGAATTCCAGTCTGGGCTGATGTCCCAGCCTTCTATGCCAGCATAATGCCATTTCCCAAAGGGGAAACCCCAGAGCAGGTCCCACAGGGGGATTAGAGTGACCTGGCCTCTCCCCCTTCTACCTCAGTGGCCCTCAGGCCTGGGATGGCTGAGAAGGGAAGGGCATCCCTTTCCCATAGCTCTTCAGCCTGATAAAGGGGCTTCCTTGGCAGCCCTGTATCATGGTACTAGGTACCTTTGACTCATAAACTTAGGAGGTGGGGAGGAGCGCACGGGTCCAGGCAGGATGGAGAGGAATGTATTAACCCAATGGTTTCCTCCTCCATCCCGAGCAGTGTGTCTGTCTATGGCATGGGAGGGACCCCCTTTAGTCAGGCAGTGGGATCTTCCTGTGGCCCGGCCTCCCTAACGTCATTCACATTGAATGGGGATGAGGTCGGACAGTGGCTCATAGAGCTAAGTATGAGCCCTGGCTGTGGGCCGGAAATGTCCTTAATAAACATCCTTATTTTTCTGTTTTGTTTGCCGTAATGGAATGAGGAAAACCTAGAATTAAGCAGAATCGGGTCTTCTCCCCCTGGTTCAGGGTTCAGCTGCACATGCAAGGAAAAAAAGGAAAGCCCAGTAAACTAGAGTAAAAAAGGAGTTTATATATTTATAAATGCCAAATAAATACCAGAGGCCACCCAGTGCCCCCTCCCAGACAGGCCTATCTCCCCCAGCCCTAGGCTTCTAGAGTCTGAGACATCTTGGCCCCAAGCTACAGCCCAAGAGCAGCTGCCAGTCAGGGCTCCTAGGGAACTGAGTGGGGATGATCTGTCCGGCCAAGACTCACTCCCTCTGTGTGAGGGGCCCCCATAGCCACAGGCCTGTGTCCCTGTCCAGGGCCCTACGGAGGCTAGACTCAGGGGGAGAACGTGGTCATCTCGAGTGAGACCCGCTGCCACAGCTCCTTGGTCTGCTTGCTGCGCTTGAGGTTCTGCAGAATGTCGTTGAACTGCATCATGCCCATGGGCGTCAGGCAGAAGGCGCTGCGGGCACTGCGAATGGCGTTCACAAAGTCGTCGTAGTCGGCAGGGGTCAGGTGAATCAGGCGGTGGTGGATGTACTGGAGGAGGATGTGTGGGGGGTGAGCCTCGGTATAAAGCGCAGGCCGTGTCCCTCCTCCCTCAAACACTCCCCATGCTTCCTGGACCGTCACCTGCATGTATGCTTGCTGGCAGCGCTGCACCAGCTGGTGGAAGGCCGGGGCACGCAGATGGTTGTGGGCATGAGCGGGGCTCAGCCGCTGCAGCGTCTCCATGACGATCTCCTGCAGCACAAACGGGCTCAGCACCCCCTTGGCTGCCCCCACACAGAACTGGTGCACGTAGTTCACTCCTGGGGGGCAGGGGGGAGGGGCATGAGACGGGGGTGGCCACCTCTGCCCTAGGGACCCAACTTCTGTATCTCAGCTCTGGCCTGGCAGAGCGCCTCCCACCACCCCAGGAGCTGAGGTCACCTCCGCCCCCTCCGCGCACGCACACATACCCGACCAAGGCCTCAACTCTGAGCAAGAGCTAGGAAGGAGGTCTGGGATAGGAAGGTGGGGGAGCGAGTGGGGGGGACAATGGTCCTCGGGAGGGGAGGTGTTACCCAGCTTTGCTGCCAGCCCCAGCAACCATTTGACATCATCAGTGTAGGGGGGGGAGCGAGAGAAGTTGTTGGGGTGATCATTGTGTGCCCGGCGACCCAGCATCTCCAGTGCCAACATTCCTGTAAGACAAGAGGGTCATACGGCAGGTGCATATGCTTTACCTTCGACCCCAGCCTGGCACCTGACCCCATGGTCCACAGATTAAGAGGGAGTAGAAGGTGTCCCCTCGGGAGCCTCAGGCCCACTGACCGACGCGGTAGGCAGCGTGCAGGTGGTGCAGGCTGTGCGGGTTGACCGGCTGGCTGTGCGGCTCCTCCTCGGGTGGTGGGAAGCCCCCGCTCACCAGAGGGCTGGGCTGTGTGGTCAGGGCTGGCAGGGAGGCGCCCTGGATGGCTGGGAACGTGGGTGCTGGATGGACACTGCTCACTGAGAGTGCAAGGACAGCCATGAGATCTGAGCACAGAGGACAGCAGAGGCACACCCCCCCATCCATGTGCCTCCCTTCCATTCACCTGCTCCCTGTCCCCACAACTCACAGGCCACACTTGTGGGCAGTGGGAGCCCTGGCTCTGTGTGGTAGGGATGGACTGTGATGGGTGCCATAGAAGGGACAGGAAAAGACACAGCAGTGGCAGCAAGTGAGGGAGGAGTCACTGAGTAAGGGTACTGAGCCCCCAGGAATGCAGGATGCATACCCTAGAGGCAGGGGAGGAAGAGAAGGGAGACACTAAGTTTCAGCAGGATGTGGTACTCTACTCCACAAATGGGGACCCCTTATTTGGGTCAGGTTCCCCAGACTCCCACCACCTCACCAGGACTTTGGACAGAGTATGCCACAGCCAACCCCATACTCCCAGCGTCCTCCCACACACCCACCCCTAGCAGAACCAGCTCACCTGTGGGTATGCGGTGCTGGGCACAGGGAAGACGGCAGGCCGGGGCATGTGAGGCATGGGGTGGGCAGGGTGCGCTGGGTGGGTGAGGTACTGAGGGCTGCAGGGCAGGTGGGGCTGTAGAGCAGTGTAAGGGTGCAGGCCAGGGGAATGACCATGTCCCAGCCCTGGACCCGGATATAAACTGGACCCCACTGAGATGACTGGAACCACTGTAGCTGCTGCTGTCACTGCCGCTGCTGCCACTGTTACAGGTTCAGTCCCTGGCCCCACCCTGCCCTCAGGCAGCCCCCGCCCAGCCTCCCCAGCTGCCCTGATCCCACTGGCACTACAGCTTGGCGCCCCTTCACGGGCTGTGGATGCGCCACCTGCTGTTTGCTCATACAGCCAGAACCACTGGTGAGCAACCTCAAACAACACTTCGGGGTACACGCCCCCACCCTTAGCCGCCTCTTCCACCGCCATGCAGGCCTTCTCCAACATCAGGTTATCCTGGAAGAAGGGGCACAGAGCGTTAAAGGGGAAAGGTTTCACCCAGTTGTCTCGGGGTGGGATCAGGTCAGCGTCCACATTCAGTTCGTGGCAGAGCAGTGAGTGCCTCCCACAGACAGCGAACAACACTTGCTGACTAATAGGAGTCAGGCCCAGATCAAAGGCCCAGTCCAAAGTAGTTCAACCACCTCTCCCTTCCACACCTCATCATCTCCCTGAGGCCTTCACTAACTTTTCCATCCTGGGTCATCTTACTTTGTCCCTAAACTATAAGCCTTTACTTCCTTATTTGTAAAGTAGGGATAATCCTCACTTCAGAGATATAAAGGACATGGTGCACATGACAGCATAGTACAGGTTCAGCAGCATCCCAAATCCAAAAACTTTTGAGCAACATGCCATACCTGGGAAATAATGAAGAAATTTGGCCCCGTGCACAAAATTATTTAAAATAATTATATAAGATAACCTTCGGTTTACATTGCATCAAATACATGAAAGATAAATAAATTTCCGGCTTAGACTTGGGTCCCAGCCTCAAGATATTCCGAAATCTGAAACACTTCAGGTAGGATGCTTAGCGTGTAATATCTAAAATGTCACATGTGAATTCAAACTGGATACTCTGTAAACTCCTGAATATGTAATCAAAAGCTGGGCCCTATCCAGCATGGTATCCTGCCTGTGGTCCCACTGCTCTGGAGGCTAGGCAGGTCATGAGTTCAAGGCCACCTTGACAACACAGCAAAACCCCATCTCAAAAAGTAGAGCTGGCCTTCACGTTCCCACATGCCCAACCTCCCTGCCAGCACTCCCAAATACCTGCTCCTTGCACTGCACCAGGGCCCGCTGGATTTCATTGGGGTTCAGCGCGTGGGCATGAGGCAGGCAGCTTAGGGCCAGCTCCGCGGCTGCCCTCACCATATTGGAGTCCCGTGCCCGTGATGCTCTGTCAGCCAGGGAGGCGACCTCAGGGGGCGTCAGGTGCCCATCCCAGCACTCTACCAGTATAGTCAGGGCTGCACTGCCAATCTCCATTGCCTGCCCTTCAGGGAAAGATAAGCAGAGTGGGCTTAGGGTGGGCACCATGAGGGTGTGCAGATGATGGTGCCCATCAAACCAGTAATGCCACAAAGATGAGGCTCTTATCTCTACCAATTAACCCCATCCTACCCCCAGCAGGACATTAAATTTACCTGTAATCCAAGAAACGTGGGAAGAATAGGTACGTGAGAGCCAGTTGGGAGAAACAAAGTTGTGCAGGCCAAGGGCATAAAGCCCAATCTCGAAGGCGCAAAGATGCAGGTTGCGGTGAGGACCCTGGTGGCCCCCTGAGGAAGATGGATGTGTGAAAATGGAAGTGCTGCTGTTGCCCCCTGCCTTGATCAGCACTGTCTTCGCCAGCTCAAAGTAGAAGTGTGCAGCTGCCTCTGATGGCTGATTGGGTACATGAGGGGCATGACTCTCGGGGCGGCGACCCTTGTACCTGAAGGGGCAATGGGGTAGGGATGGGGGTTGGGTTTTCTCTGAAGTGGATGTCCAGGTAGGTTGGGAAGGTCCAGGGTGAGGCATTGGGGGACAATGCTCGGATTACACTAAGGATGTGGCCCTGAAGAGTAGGAAGATCAGGGCTGATGTGCATTTCTTCCCACTGACCTGCCAACTTCAACTGTCTTTGCCCTGGCCCCTCCAGTGGCACTGGCCCGGCGACTTCCACTGGAGGATGAGGAGCCCAGGGAGTCTGAGGAAGAGCTGCTAATACTGTCACTGTCTTGTCCTCGACCCCAGGAGGTGGGGGCCCAGCCGCCTCGAAGTGGCCTCCGGCTTAAGGTGGGGGAGCTATCCGATGTTGTTTCGGGGGCACTGCTGTCAATGCTGGCCATTCCTAAACCCAAAGACAAGTTTGTCTCAGAAGCCAGGAGTCCTAGAAGTCAGACTCCAAGTTTTAATATCCTTCCCTCCATGCCATTCTGAGGGCTGTCCTACCTGTGTGCTTCTTCTTGGGTCGCCCTGGGGAGCCCCAGCCCCGTCCATTGTAGCCTCCACGACTGCCAAGTGCCAGGCGGCTGGGAACCTTCCCCTCTGGCCTTGGGGTCAAAGATGCCTCAGATGGGAGACCCTCACAGGGGGAATGTGGGGAGCTTTCTAGGTGGGAAAAATAGGACACTGGGATGAGCCCAGGAAATGGTACCCCCACATGGCTGTAGACCACTCATTCCCCTGCCCAGCGCCCCCACCTCACCAGGCACATTCTTCTCTGTGAAGCCCTCAGTAGGGCCTGGCCCAGCCCCTGTCACATTCCCTGGCTGAGCAGGCCCCGCAGAGCCTGAGGTCAGAGGCTGCAGGGCCCCGGGGGCAGATGGGCTCCCGTGCTTTGAAGGAGACCTCTGGTTGGCTGTGGCCGGGCGGCTAGATGAGTAGAATGAACTCAGCGTCTGTGGCTTGTGTGTCTGGCTCTCTCTGTCCAAGAGTTTGTCTAGTATCTGGAGAACAGAAAAACAGTGATAGGATTCCCTTTATCTCTGACTTCTGTAACACTTCTTTCTTTTCGAAGCAGCCTAATGCTACCTCTCAGGAAGCCTTCCCCAGTTAGAACTACAGGACGACCTCCCAGCTTACATGTCTTGGCATCTTCCGTAACACTTACCTCAGGACTGAATATACTGATATTCAATAAATATTGAAATAAATGAATGAATGACTT